GGCCCTTTTCAGGAAGGATCTGATCTGAAGCCCAATGCTACTCTATAGGCAGCCGGATCTTAAAGTGACATTAAACCTTCATTTTCTTTCTTTTTATGATTAGGAGGCCTGCACTTAGGTGAATGTACCTTTTTTTTTTTTTTCTTTAAAGTTTTTATTTCTTCGTTCTTTAGCTGATCCCCAAACCGCTACCCCCCCTTCTGTTTGCAGGTGTCTCCATCAGTCAGGCGGCTGCTGAGGAGACACCCATGCATGCAGGTTCCCAGCTGTGCTGGCACCTAGCTGTATGTGTCCATCGATACAAACAGTGTGCGGCAAGCCATGCCCCTGCTCTTGCAATCACAGTTTGACTGACGGCAGAAGGAACCTATCGCTTCTCTGCCCTCAGTACTCTCTCCCACAAACAGGAAGTTTGGGGCATGCCGTGTATCTTCCTGGTCCCATTACAATGTTCCAAAATGCATGCATTTAGTATGACCAAGATCTAAATGTTTTAAAGCCAGTTTTTTATAACATATTGAACCTGATGACATTTCTTTGGAACTAGGAATTAAATAGTGCAAGAGACAGCATGCCAGACAATCTCTATGAGCCAGATACAGAAGACCAGGTGCTTGATGAAAAAAGTTTGCAATTAAACCTTGATATTGAGGAAAAGCAGCTTGATCCTACTGAGGTACTGGTAAGGTTATTGTAGTAATATTATGTTATTATTTTTATATTTTGTAGCAAAGTAATATTGCCCTAAAGCAGAACTTCAGCCAGGCAACAAAATTACAATTACAATTCTCAGGCTCCCTGTACCTGTTGAAGCACATGGCTTCTCTTCCTAGGCAGCAGACCTAGAAAGATCAGACAATCCACAGCATCTCTCCCCCGGAAGGGGGGGGGAGACATTCAAACTTAAAACGCATGTCAATAATCCTAATTGCCTAAAGATCTACAATGTGATCCTTGCACCCCTACCAAACAGCATAAACAGGCCCATGATCCTAAATTATTAACGTTGATCTTTTCTGCTTTAAGTAGTATATTTTTATTAAGGACCCACACAGTAGAGGGCATTACCCAGTAAGAGTTTTTTCACACTACTTCCCTATGCTAAAGGCACGATATCCATGCTTTTAGCACCTGCACAAAACTCAATGCAGCTCATGTTAGTTGCGCTGGTGTGTTACATTGCCATTCATTCTGATTAATGTGCATTTTTCCTATTTTGAAGTGTGCATTCATTATTTTTTTTTCAAAAAGGTGTATTTTACTGCTCCTAGATGCAACAAAGGAGCAACAAACGTGCATCTGTTTACTTCCGATAACCCCGACTCCATCCAGTCCGGAAAAAACCCCGAAACAAAGTTCCATTTTGGTGGTTCTAAGCGTGATGGATCGTAGATAATCTGATGTGAACAGACACATGTTCACTTACATCCGACTACCCGTAGACCTAACATGAGTCCATACAGCATAGCTTTGAGATGGGGAAAAAAAACTGAACAAGAGTGACATACTGCTCCGATCAGCAGGGGATCGATGCACAGATCAGACCCCCTGCTGATCAGAAGAGACGGTACCCATGTGAGATTCTTTAGTCATTTCTAAAAGACTGCAAGAATAAACAAACTTTGTATTTTTTATCGTTTGTGTTTTCGCCCCATCGCTAGGAGAATACTGCAGATGAAGAATCGTCGAAAAATGAAAGCGATGAATTGGAGGATATAAATCTCCCCCAGCAGTCAGATATTATTGTCCAGAATGAAAGCTCACAACTGAGTGTTGTTGAAAGTCAGACACCAGATACGAGAAACGCGGTAGACCCAGTTCCGGAGGATATGAATGAAAAGACAGATTTAGAGAAAACCAGTCCATCAGATGAAGACTCGTTGATTTACACTGCAACCCCTCAGACTGCGTTTGAAGTAGAGAACGCACCTCCAATCGATAAACCACTCGTGAGTATTAATGGGGTCACTGATGTTAATTGATAGAGGGTGAAACACATATTACACAAAAAGTAATTATTACACTGTACACAAGCACCACATATGAGAGAAACAAGGAGGCTGAAACCACTGGCCTCATTCTGCAAATGGTATCTTCCTGGCTCTCATACTAATCTTTTGTTTTCACTGACCTTGAACAAGTATACATTTTAGGAGTTTTGGCTTCACTTGCTGTATAGTCACCCTGTGTCAGTGACTCAGAAACTGTGGAAGCCAAAAGATTAACATCAACAACCAGGCAACTTGGATTTTCAGAAGGAACTCAGCAGTGTCAGTCTACGTGTATTCAAGTCAGCCTACGTATATTTTTATGATGTGTTTCCTTTGTTTTGTACACCCAAATAAAGTTGAATTACTATTCCTCCTTTCAGGCTTGTTTACAACATATGCAGTGGGATGTGTTATTTATCACCTCCGGAATGCATATGCATTGAAAAAGTAATATGAATGAGTCTAGAGTAGCGTTACTCAACATTTTTTCAGTCACGGCATCCTTTTTAAAAGACTCAAAATATCAAGGCACCCCGGTATGAAATGTAAAAAATTTAAATGTAAAAAACGATGTGTGGTCCCTACAAAATCTGTAACAGACCCTTATCCGAACTTGGGGTGCGCTATGGATTTTAAGGGGGAATTCCAATATATCCCTATTTGTAAATAAACCCAAAACTTATTTAAGATTCAGTTGCCCTTTAGTAATTTAAGGCACCCCAAAGCAGAGCACATTCTACAGACCTCATGCAAAAACAGAAAAGTAAGATTCCACCTTCACATTAGGAGCCCCCTTCACATCAGATTCCCCCTTCCCCCCGTTTCACATCAGAGTGATCCCCTCTCACACTAGAAGCCCCCTTCACAATTGAGTCCTAAGCCCTTACTGGAGCAGGCCTAGATGTAAACTTCTGTCCTTTTCTGAATGGATCCTATCCTCCCCAGATTAGTATCACTCATTTCCACGGTGCTGATGGCTGGTCTGCACCATGAAAAGGCATGGTACTATGTGAACATTTTAGGACACCCCTGAGAGAGTCAGAAGGCACCCTGGTTGAGAAAGGCTGCTAGACCAGTGTTTCTCAACCTTTTTTTCTAGTCACGGCACCCTTTTAAAAGTATGTAAAATTTTGAGGCACCCCAGTGTAACATGTCATAGATTGTAAGGGGTACCCCACGCGAAAAAGCACAAAAATTTGGTTTCCCCCTTAACATCAAAGTGCCCTCTTCGAATCAAGATTCCTCTCCCCTTCACATCAGAGTCAGCCTTTGCATCAGTAGCCCCACTTTCATATCAGAGTTCCCCTTTTACCCTTTTACATCAGGAGCCCTCTTCACACCACGGTTCCCCTTTCATATCAGAGTTACCCTTTTACCCTTTTACATCAGGAGCCCTCTTCACACCACGGTTCCCCTTTCATATCAGAGTTCCCCTTTTACCCTTTTACATCAGGAGCCCTCTTCACATCACGGTCCCACTACCGCTAAATTTTAAAGGCACCCCTGATGAGGCCAGGAGGCAGACCGGGTTGGGAAAGGCTGGTTTAGACTACGCCATTGCCGTGTGTAAAAAATGAAGTAGAGCATGCTGCACTTTTTGTCACTGAACACACCACACTTTTGTAAACACAACTTCTTACTATCTTGTCTTTTTTGCTGACCCGTTCCCCTAAAACACACTAAACGCATGTATGAAAATGCATGCAAATGCAACACATAAAAAAAACTTGTCAATGCGCGTGCGTAGTGTGTACCAGACCTTCTGCTGTCAAGGGTTCTGGTGATGAGATGTACCTACTGATCCCAGCCATGTATCCACTAGTTTAAAGTCTCACTTTTTCTACTGCACTAAGGGAAGTCTCACTCCTGTTGTATGTAATGTAAACTTAACAAACCTGGGAGAGTGAGCTAAAAGCAGGTGGGCAGACTAAAGCTGCTCACAGACATGAGATGAGAGATGCCTTATTCCGTTTAGCCCAACATTCATGTGTATGCGTGTGCTGGACAACAAAGGGTTAACAAGGTGATTGCACTGTGCTCATATGTTTGACCACCATTCTACACCTATGGAAACGCACGGACGCAGAGACGTGGAAAGCCAGCCGGAGATTCAACTCCTCAGCAGCTGCAAACACTTAAATGCCAGTTTTAGCCGGACTGATTAATTTCGTGGCTCACCATCTGGTTACTTTTCTCTTGTTTCTATGCATAGATCACATACAAATTAGAAAATATGTGTTTTCTTTGTTGCAGAACTTAGTATGGTCATTTGGGATGAACAATAATATTCCAATTTATAATCTTCATGATGAAGAGCATCAAGTGCTTGTTTATGCGTGTGCTCACACAGCTGTCATTCACGACTTCACTCTTAACCGCCAACGCCACCTACAGGTAAGAATTGGATATATTGGTTACATCTACGTGGTATATTTCATGGTGCGTTATTGTATACAAAATTGACACTATTCTTGGTTAATCCTTTATCTCAAAAGTACTTCACCCACAAGTAGTTAGTAAAGTATATCTAAATACAAGAATAAAATTGTAACTTTACCAGTCCTTAGATGTGTTTTCTGCATTACTTTTCTTTTTTCACAGTAAGTATATTCTCTGCAAGTACAGAAAAATACTTGCTGATCCAGCCAGAAAATCAATGTGCTTGTAACTTCTGTGTACTGAATTGAAATCTCAAATAATATTATCAGCCTTCCCAGTTCTTTCTGTGAATTACAGAACATCTTCGACCTAGAGTATATAATGAAGATTAGGAGAGAGGAAGTTGTTTGTAGTCCAAATCAGGAGAACTGCCTAGTTTAGGTGACATCATTGTACTCCTGCTGACATAATGGTACTCCTAGTAACATCACTGTACTCCCACTAACATCACTGTACTCCCACTAACATCACTGTACTCCTACTAACATCACTGTACTCCCACAGGGACACTGTAGTTGCATTTCCTGCATGTGTGTAAGTGAAGACAGGAGATGGATTGCCACAGCTGACTGTGGACCAGAGAGTCTTATCATTGTATGGGATTCATTTTCTGGGTAAGATCAACTATATGATGAAATATTCTGATATGATAACTTCCAACATGGTTTGATTTTAAAGTGCCAGTATATTCTCCTGGCATCACTTGCTGCTGGGACAAAACTGTTTCATGCTATTGCAGTTGCATGACCAAAAACTGAAAAATCTGCGGGGTTCTTCTTTCGATATAAAGGATCTGGTGAAGACTCTTAAATCGGGTATTTTTACTTTAATACTATAAAATGGTGTATGAAAATTCTTAAAGAGAACTCCAGATTCAGCCCAACATTCAATATACATTTGCATGGTCATGCTATTAATACGTGCAAAAATATTATAGTACAATTGTTCGTCTGAGATCTGCACAAATCCTGTACATGTAAATTTGATTCCCCTTGGCAAACCTGACAGACTTAATAGTTGTTGTCAGTATATGACCCACCGCAGTCTCCAGGAAAAACAAGAAGGTTTAATAAACTTTAACTGGGCCGGTTGTATTCTTCAATAGGCTGAATAATCAAAGCACTGATAATAAATTAGTTTCCTGTAGCAATATGTCAATCTATTGTATTCAGTAGAACAGGGCTCAAAATTTCCACTCGCTTGCTCGGATTTGGCGAGTAAAAATAAAGTGAGGGCAAGTGGAAATTTGGGTCTCCAAGTACCGGTCCGCAGGCCAACCCCGGCCCGCGAGCCAGTACTATGTGGCCAGCAGACATGTCAGGCACACGGTCGCAGACCGCGTACCTCACATGCGGGAGCAGCTCCACTCTGCATCTGTGTCGGATGCAGACCGCAGAGCAGCTCGTGTCAGCTCTGGCTTTCTTCGGCCGCAGCTCTGACAGTTCTGAGCTCCGGCCGAAAGAAAGGATATATGTGAGCAGGATCGATCCCTGGTTATCTGGGGGTGATTACTGAGGTCTGCTGCAGACCTCAGTAATCACCCCCAGATAACCAGGGATCGATCCTGCTCACATATATCCTTTCTTTCGGCCGGAGCTCAGAACTGTCAGAGCTGCGGCCGAAGAAAGCCAGAGCTGACACGAGCTGCTCTGCGGTCTGCATCCGACATTGAGAAGTGTATTATTGTGTTTTAAGCTGCCCATACACCTTACAACCATCGTATGACTTTCATTATGCCATGGTTGTAAGGTCATTAAAATTTCGTACAATCTGCCCATCTTGGACATGTAGATCGTACATGCAATCATTGCAAGCCCTCCCTGCTGAGGGGAGGGCTTGCGATGATTGCATGATTGCAGTGCTGAGCGGGCAGCGTGCACTTGCCACGCCACCAACCCAGCAAAAATCAGGTTTTCGTACGACCTTACAGTAGAAGCGGTCGCACGCTGCCCATACACCTGCCGATTATCGTACGATCGTGGGATCACCCACGATTATCATACGATAATCGCCAGGTGTATGGGCACCTTTAGTGTATGTGTATATTATGCCACATTCACACCTACAGTATATTTCAGGTGTGATTAGAGATTCCTGTGTCAGGAACTTGCGTTTTCCTGCAGCAGGAATCCCTAATCTGCCATTTACAAGCGGCAATTATCATAAGATAAGAATTATCATAAGATTATTTAAGACGGTGTGTTTAGCGGCGGAGTTAGGCCGGGGCAGGGTAAGGGTTAGGTGGGGCAACTGGTGGCTAGTAACTCTTAAGGCCTGGCTAGTAGCTCAGGACTTGAAATTTTGAACCCTGCACTAGAATATATGTTTTTACATACATTCCATTAAGTTGTCAGTCCACCATGAAGTAATATTTCAGATTGCTTCACATCACAGAGCAGTGGTCTCACCACAGGAATTCCTTGTACCCTGCCCTGCCTTGGAGTCTCACTCCCTCTACTGCAGCAGAGAAGTCTCCTTTACTACTATAATCTCTCTATAATGTATAACAAATTAAGAATTCTACTGTAAGAAGGAGGTTCTCATTCAATAAATGTGGCAATGTGGTCTAGGGAAGTACAGAATTTTTCTAGATGGAGCCTCAAAAGATATAAGATGCTACAAGGTGACTCAGCCCAGTAGCATCCTTCTAACTCTGCAATAACAATTCTGACCCTTTTAGAAAACATAAGCAGCTTATTTCTATCCAAGGTTTGTGGAAATAAAATTCATTTTGTTCTGCTATTCATCATCAGGTTATCTTTGTCTTACTTTTCAATACTTGATACATAAAAACTGGGTACTGCATGCTTGGGAAATAAAATGCTTAATTCACTAAGCTATAACATAAGTTATTTGCCATAAATGTTGTTAATGTGACATTTCTTTTCAGCTTTTAGTGGCTCTAGTTTTATAAAATATTCTCAGTAATATTGTTGTTATTGTCAGTAATGATCTCTATAGTTTAGCCTAAAATGACATTATTATTATTATTATTCCCATCTTGTTTCCGGTAGCATCCCTGTCCATACAATATTCCAGAGCCATCCAGAAGGGGGAGTAGTTGCCATAGCTATGTCTCAGAATGCTAAATACTTGGCAACTATTGGAGGAGAAACAGTTCAGGTATACGATCAGTCTTTCATGTCCATGGCATTTCATTACACTGAGGATACCGTATGTTTACCGTATGTTAACACCTGTTTGTTATATTTATTAACCATCAATTATGTAATAGCATGCATTCTGGTGTGATAAGCAGATTAGGTTACTGCCAAGTTAACAATCAACTTTAAATGTTAAAGAGGTGCATTTGGACCCCTTTCCAGTTCACCTTTGCTGTCTAGAGTGTTCATGGGTACCCCGTCATATACTCACTGAGTTCAAGTCAGCAGGTGATTGGGTCAGTGCATGTTCACCTCTTACATTTAATAGAGAACTATAGCCAAACCTTTGTTTGGCTATAGTTCTCTTTTGGGTCACGGCAGTAAATGTACTAATGTCCTCCTGTGACCCAAAGCCAGCATATAGCAGGCTCTGCCCACTGTATGCTGACAGCAAAGAGCCGCGCTTCACCCGGGAAATAGCCTGAAATTTTTGTTGCGGTCCACCCCACTGCCAGATTGGCAGGTAGGAGGAAAGGAGGGAGGGAATCCCTGGGGGAGTGATGACTGGCTGTCATCGCTCTCTGCAGGGAGAAGCCATGAACTGCGTGATCAGCGGTTTGTGATCTCTCAGTTCTTGAGCAGTAGAGCCGACCTGTGACGACTACAGTGTCACTCACCAGCTCAAAGTATTGGGAAGAGTACATTTTACTCTCCTAATAGTTCTCCTTTAATTTAGGCATATTATTATGAAGTCATTGACTTTATTTGGACCATACTTAAAGTCATGCACTGTGCTATCTAATATTAGGCAAATTCTTACTGGCCTAGACACCACCATTATGTGTGGGAGAGGATGTAAAAGTAAACCCATTAAGGGGTCCAGTACACATACTGCGATGAATAATCCACCCTAGACTACTGGCCTGGATTTGGTGGATTGCTGGCAGAGTGAATCCACTGTGACCTTTCCTTGTATGTGACAGATTCACTTTAATCGCCCATTCTTACCCAGCAATTGCTTAGCTTTTCTTCACTCCCTCCTCTGCTCCCTTCACATCTGGATATGGAGGAGCATATAACTTACTCTATGTGACGATGCTAAACCAATCAGTAGTGTCACATTGGCAGTTTATAGTCATGTGTAAAGTATGATTCTAGAGATTCATAGCTGACACAAGATTGTTCTTTGCTCCCGGCAGCTGAACAGAGAGGCTGGGGTGCAAAAAGAAGGTAAGTATATGCTACTGAAGAGGGCTAAGTTAAAGGGAACATGTTGTTTTCGCTATCCGTGTGCAAAGCACAGTTCCACTATGAGTATTTTTCCAGTTCCTCTTCCATTTCATGCTCTTCATACAAGTACTTTGTGACAGATCCCCTTTAATGATGTAAATTATATTTTATCCTGAATATTCTTTTCTGCAGAAAGTCTGTATTTGGGACTGGACAAAAGGGTCTGAAACACCAGTCTGTTCTGCTGAGCTTGATGGAGAATTTGGCCTTCAGGTAACAACACAAATTACTAAGCATGCTGCTGACCCAGATCTAATCTACATTGATGCAGCAACTCTATAGTTAATGTTAACGTATATGTTTAGCTGATTTTGTACAAATTTTGTTTGATATGTAAACTGTGGGCTAGGCTGGAACTGGTGCCACCTTGTTTGAGCACATAGACTTATTTGATTAGCCTGTACCCTCTGTAAAATACTGTACAGTTTGTTGGCACTATATACATGTGATTGGCCCGTACCCTCTGTAAAATCCTGACAATTTGTTGACACTATATACATGAATTAGATTAATAAATACATAGATGCAGCAGTGCCGTAAACATAAAGAGACCCAGACAATAGCTATGCCTAGCTTTTTGTATTAACATTTTAGCCATCTGTATAAAGTTGCCATCATCTAGGCATACAGGTGTGTGTGTGTATTGTGACGGACCCTGGTACCCAGGATGAGTATGTCCACCTCTGTAGTCTTCCTTGCTCAGGAGAAACTGCTCCCCGATGATCATTAGCTCCCAGTCCACCCAGTCACTAGCTGAAACCAAGTGTAGGGTGAAACAAACTCTGATCTCTGATTTATTGAGCAACTGTAAAACCTTTTATACACAAAGTGATCAGATCAGATTATAATCCCATCACATTCACCCTGCCCTCCCCAGACATTCTGACTGCACAAGCCCCCAGGGGTCCATACTGCTAAAGAGCTCCAGGCAGCCATAGCAGGAGTCTGGCCAGGCGCAAGAGACTGTCATTGTCCTGAGCTCTTTCGGAGTACAAAGAGAGCTAACAGTGGGGGGGTGCTGACAGTCTTTTGATGAACAGGTTACGCAGTATAACACACACATAACCCATAAACTGACGACCATGTCTTCATATTGTAGCTTTCAATTTGATACTGCTTTCTAAATCAGTAATGCAGGCATGTATAGATTTAAAAAAATATATATTTTCAATATCTGTTCACATTTCAGAAATATATTATATTTAATCCTCAAGATCACGCACAACTAATTACCAACAGTGAAACACAAGTGATATTTTACTCATGGGTAAGTAGCACATTTAAGACTAACTAATACTTGTCTTGTGTCAGAGTGCAGTATTCCATATGTATCTTGCCAAGACAAATATTACAATTCATGAATTTTTCCAGCATTTATTTTCTGCATTTATCTGGTGTGCAGAGATGGAAGAGGGTCCCAGCACAAAATGTGCACATAAAACCCCTTTTGACACTATGCACCGCCACAGATTTGCATACCCTCTTGTCATGGTGCCACCTGACCAAAATCTGTCTCCAAGAAGAATTCACAAAGTAACTAAGGTAGTTTATGCCTAGATATGCAGGTGCTGATTTTGCCTCTGACTGCCATATCGCTATATATATTTATTATCTGATTCGCATCAGCTCTGCCCTCACTGGCATCTGTTGCCCCAATTGACTCATTGCTGTGCCAGCCTGTTTACACAGGCCTCGAGTCAAAATTTGGGTCCACTTTAAACTAATAGGGAAGAGCAGTAGGGATATTAGAATAATATTATACATCTATCTCTTGTCATAATAAGGAGATTCGGCAGAGTTCCAATTTTTGATTACATCTTCTGTGATCTGTTACCAGGTTAAGGTCATGTAACCTGGATCCAGAGCCCCTCCTAACATCCTTGTTGTGGTGCATAGTTAAGCTTACTCTTACCATATTACCTATTCTTACCTATTAACTCCCCTAAATATATCTTTCTATTTGACAGACCTAAACTTTGAGCAACATTTCCTGTATAGGTAGCCAACATAAGTTTTGCCACAAAGACTAAGGCCGGTGCCACTAAGGGCATACAACATTTGCCTTCCAGTGTGTATTTTGTATAATTAATACAAGACTTATCCAATTGAACTAACTTTTCTGCACTCTAAACCCTGTTATTAAATGGAATGACTGACCTATCTTGATAATTAACAATAGGCTCCTAGCCATTCCAAATGACCCCTTTACATAAATGTGGTCCAGCAAACTTTTGTTTGATCTGTAATTTCTAATGCAACAAAACATGCACTTATTGCTATCCTGCTTTGTTTTTCTCATGTACAGGATAACTCCATTCTGGAATTTGCAGCTCCTCCACTGAATGATAATGTAAGTGCATTTTCTTCACTTTACCAACAGGACAGTGCACTAACAAAATAAATTCAGTCCTTAACACAAATTAATGGTTTGATAAACTTGGAAAGCAAATTATATACTCCATACATAACCAAAAGAAAGAAAAACTGGAACGCACTGTTTGTGGTGTGAACCGGCCCTTAGAGATCTTAACTGCTCAGCCACTTAACCATAGAAATGTTTGTTAACCACATACTGCCAGCTCCCACTCAACCCGTAAGTTGTCAATAGAGCCTACCTGCTTCCAAAACCTTCTGGCTCTTCAGGCGCACTGGTGTATCCGACCCTGAAGGAGGGAAGGTGTGTTCCCAATTTGCCTGATGCTGCAGACTGGGAGGAGCGGGTCAGATGTGTCCAAAGCTGTGGGCGGGGAGGGGCCAGGCAAATGTGTTGGACACTGAAGACAAGAAGAGGCTACGTTTATTGGATGCTGAAGATGGAGGTGCGGGCCAAATGCCTCTGCCAGCAAGTAAAGGCAGCAAAGTTTATTGGCCGCTGCAGATGGGGAGGGCCGAATGTGTTGGATGCTTCAGCGTCCGACACATTTGGGCGCACGAACACAGTGGGAAGGAACGTGGGACAGAGAGTCGATCCGCGATCTTCCAGCTTTAGCTTTGCGAATGACTGGTAGATCGCGATCGACCTTATGGGCACCCCTGATGTAAATTAACCTAGACATCACAATTAGGGCTTCTGTATAAACATAAGGTAACAGTACAGCAAGTTCGAATATTAACAGTCAAGAAAATAAAATTAGGATCTCTATAGTAAGTTGGAAATAAGCCTCCATGAGAGAAAGGCAGGTCAGTGTACACTTATCACATGGTAAGTCACCAGCTAACTAAGTCATATTAATGGGATCATGATTGGTATACTCTGCGTGGAACTTCAAAAGGGCTAAACCAAGAGGTAGAATAAGAAAGGAGGAAGAAGGGGAGAAAAGAAAATATGGAGAGCAGAGAAGAGAATAAGGGGGATAACAAAGAAGAGGGTTTAGGGAAAGAAAGAAAGCCCAAGTAAAGGGAACAGAAAATAAGAAATAATGGGAAGGGGAGAGCAGTAAGCAATCACCCTGCGGGTTGCTAGCCAGTGTTGGAAGTCGATAGCCAAATATGTCAAGGATCTAGATCAGCAACACTTTACCCTCATCAGAGCACATAAATTTAGTCCAGTAGAGCCAGGTTTTGCTATATCGTTCATTCCTATTTTGAGATGATAAGATAAGTTCCTCCATATTCCTGATCTCCTCTACTCTGCGTATCCACATCGAGGTGGAGAGAGGGGTAGGGCTCCTCCACAGGCTTGGAATGCAGGCCATGCCAGCATCAAGAAGGTGACTTAAAACCGAGCGAGCGTAAGATTTTTTGGGGATCGGCAAATTATGCAGCAGAAAGAAAGAAGGGACATCTGGTAGATCATAATCTGTAAATTTTTGTGCAATTGTGCGGACTGAGGCCCAAAATTGTGAAATCGCCGGGCACGACCCAAAAATATGTAACACTGTATCCTTAGTTGTGTTACATCTCCAGCAAGTATCAGGAGTACCCCGGTTGCACTGATTTAGTAATGCGGGAGTTCTGCACCACCTGGTAAGTATATTAAAGTTGGTTTCCTGGTACTTTGTGGAGATAGAGGACTTCAGGGTAAAATGAATAATATTTTGACACAGATCGTCTGAAAAGGAAGCCCAGTGGGTTAGAAAAGGAACTCTACCTTTCCAATCGGAGGTGGAGAGAAGGGTATAAACCCCAGAAAGAGTGTGTCTGATTAGGCCTTGGCCGTTGCAAAGGCCTTCAAAAGGAGTTAATCTCTGCCAGAACACTCCTGGCCGGGGTAGAGAGTGTAGGAAGGATCAGGAAGGATTTGAGTAACTGGGTATAGGGTTCTGTTTTATGGACGTTTTCTATTTATTCATATTTTTTTTTCTCTCTAACATTTAAACACAATTGACTTTTGACTTTTTTTTAACTGACTGAGTATGTGACTACTGCTAAATGAACATATAGGGACTCTAAAGCTGGCCATACATGCTTTGAATTTTACTCATTCAGCCCCATGGGCTAAACGAGAGAAATACATTGATTTCCCCCATCCATGCTATAGAGGAATATCATTTTTATAAGCATTTATGATTGGATGTAGATGATTATCTCAGAATTTGTGAACTGGCTCCTTTTTTAAATGAAACAGCACATGATGTATGCAAAGTAGAATTCCTTACCTCCATGTATTTAGCCTAAGCACGTTTACTTTGTCAATAATTGACTTCCTTTCACTAATAATATTGTGTTGTTTTCGCAGACCTTTAACAAAGTTGTGGGAGCCTTTAGCCAATCGGTTTTCCATTCCGGTAATGTAAGATCCTTGACAGCTACATATGCAGGAAAACTGGTTGTCTGGGAGACCACATATCCCGCTTCGATCAGAGCAAAAGCTTCCATAAAGCCACATAATAAGAAAGCATTAAAGCTGATGCATCTGCAGAAAGATGCAATTACTGTGCTCACTGCCCATGACAGGTAATGACAACAACTAGGCACAGTAACTAGGAAGGCCCAAAACAGTTAATGATTTAAGTGGCAATTTCAGTGAGAGATATTTTATCATGTCAACTAAAAATATACCTTCCACCACACATATTCAAGTTACAGAAAGCAGTAACTACACAATAAAGTGTATTTATTAATTCAGCACACAGAGCAAGAACGCTATGCAATGAACCACCATTAGTCAGGATCAGCTTTATAAAATCAAAGTTTTGTTTTATTTAAAAAATAAAAAATAAAAAAAACTTTTTTTTTTAAATGATAGATTTGCAGAAAAAGCTCATGGTTTTTAAAATAACAATGCAACAAAAAGTAAGCATACGTGTAGAGCTTAGCATTATGGTCAATTCTACTGCATGCTATGTATTCACAGCACAGCATTTGATTCCAAATGTTAAAGTTGATCTCCAAAGATGCAAGTTAATGCAGTATTAAATGTATTGTTAAAAGCACGCAGTGTAAGTATCTGAATTTGTCTTGACATCAGCCTTTTGCAGTTCATGAACAGCAGAGCTCTGATGCAAGGAGGAATGAGAAGCACACGATTAAATATGTTGTGCTGCAGTGAAAGGAGCATGTTGATAGGAGAAGAGAGCAGAATGAGATTAACTCATCGGTCTGCTGCTTCTTCTTTTATTGTCCAATAACTGAATGGGAAGGGGACCTGTCACAACAGGATGGACACAATTACAAATCCTTTGGCAATAACAGCGCCTTACTATTTAGCTACTTGTTTGAATCTTTAATCTTCTGCTCTTGCATTTTTACCTTAATGCATTCTCTGCATTAGGGTAAAAACGGCCCAGCACCTTTTTTCTACCTCAGTCCCCCCTTCCCCCCCCAGTACCCCCACACTTACCTGTCAGCTGCTGCCGGTCCTGAAGTGATCCTCTGTTCCCCTAACTTCCGGGTTGCGGGGGGAGGATACTGATGGCAGAGGAGCCATAGGCTCCTTCTGCCATCAATCAAAGGGGCTGTGTGTGTCTATGGACGCACACAGCCGCTGCAGGCACGAGCGGGCACGAGCGCGCAGGGGTGCCTCCATTAGAACGATGGTGGCACCCGTGCGGGGGGGGGGAGGGACAGCGCTGCGGGGATCTACTAGAAAGCGAGGAATTAAAAAAAAGCAACAGCCTCCAGCAAAGGAGGGTCTCTTTAAAGGAGAAATTTTAAAATTAGGCTTTAATATCACTTTAAGGGGATGATTTATAAAACTTTTGCCTGTCGTACACTGGACCCGCCACTAGATAGAGCCAAGGAGCGTAGGAATTTTCTATGCTCCCCAGCTCCATTTGGTGCTGGTAATGCGTGTGAATGGCATTCAGCCAGCGTATGGCTGGCAGGGTACTTCCTGGTCTAATTCTCCATATTCATATATATCCATATTCTTTTCTTTTTTTTTCCCACTTCCTGCTACCTACTTCCCCATAAACAAGAGCTGTGCCCTTTCTGGTCTCTGGACATATTTCCAGCACTAGAAAGCTCAGTTATGTGCTACCAGAGCCGATGGGAATCATGACCGGGGTCAGGTTTCTGTACAGTACTCGCCCCATGCATTGTGAATATTCTTACCCCCCCACCCCGTATTCCCCTGTAGAAAACACTGATATTATTATATGCTTTTCTTCAGATATTATGTCACTGGTGATACTCGTGGACATGTGAAATTTTATGACCAACAACTACAACTGCTAAACTGGTACAGCCATCTTAATCTTACTCCAATCCGTTCCATTTCTTTCTCAAAATGCTCCCCTGTACCAGCAAGTGATAAGACAAAATATCCTCAAGATTGCTCTATAAGGGGAAATCAGTTTGCTGTAAGGTAAGTCTGTATACCTTATTTATACTGAAGGGGTTATTTGGTTTAAAGAGTGATTTGCTAGGTTATCCATTCCTCTCAATGTGATGGCATAGAGGGTTCCTTCCTCTGCTGATTTTTACACGGGTGTATCAATTGAAGCTCATCCTTTCTGGTGTAAGTGTAAACATGGTGTCCTTTCTGGTGTAAGTGTAACATTGCGCACTTCCATATTTCACTTGCTGGTTAAACACATTCACAGTAATAACTACATTTAGCCACCTATGTGAGTTGGATTTGACTCCTTTATTCTATTAAACAGTTTAAAACAATGGGAGTAATATTAACTTACAGAATCCCATTGGATCAAAATGGATGTCGCAAAATAAAATGTTATCTGCGGGTAACACTGCAAGCAAAATCTTGTCTCCCTTTCAAAATTAGATTAATGGGGAAGGGGGGCCCCCTAAGAGTCATCACAATATTATCTTTGAATACCTATATTCTTCAGCTGAAAATCTGCCGAAACAATCCAATTAATTTGTATGCAATCAGGCAGGCCCTTTTGTTGATAGATTTAAAGGAGATTGTGAAATCTAAATACAACATGGTATTGTATGGTGTGGTCAGTCTAACAGAGTTTTGGTAATGGTGTGCATGTATACTTATTAAACATATCCATCTTATCTTTCAGCAACTTTATTGCATCCACATTGGATGGTTTGGTGCTGCATGTATTTACAGATGGTACAATGCTGAAAAAGGTGTTACAAGAGCCCAGTGAAGCTGTGCATGCGCTTGCCTGTCACCCTGGCAAGACACAAATTGCCATTGGAAGTTACAATGGAATCTTGAAAGTCTGGGACTACAAAGACCGAAACTGTTTCATCAGCAGAATTTTTGGCAGAGGCAAATATTTCCAGTGCCTTTCATATGATCCTAAAGGTGATCTCTCTCTGGCTTTCTCTCCCTGTCTCTTCCTTTTCTCTCTCTTTCTCTTATATGTAGCTGAAATCCTGAAACTATATTTATATTGCTGAAAAACCTGTCCACTATACTGGCAGTTTTTCCAGCAATATAATCTTTTCAAACCTAAGTGCAAACCAAGTTATCTGATTGATAAGGTCGACATCAACATTCATAGATAACACCCACTTGAGTATAAATATCCCTATAGACATTGAATGGTCCGGTTGTGTTTAGACTGCTTTAAGGAGAACTATGAGGTGAGTGCTTTTCACTCACCTCATAGTTCTAGCCGACCTGTGACAATGAGACTGTCACAGGTCGGCTCAGTAGATCGGGAGGTGAGCGAACACATCCGGGGTTCGCTCGCCTCTCGATCCTGTCACGGCTCTCTGCCGTGACAGGGGGAGGGCCTGGATTCCCCTCTCCCCGCTCCAATCTGCCAGCGCTGACTGGCAGAACGGACGGGGGAGGGGGCGGGTACAGCTGGCTCTGCCTCTAGATAGGCAGAGCCAGCTGTCACTCACGCAGCTGGGCGGATCCCGTCAGCTAAGTCCTGATCCACTCCGGCTGCGGCGTCTCAGTATACCGCGAACTGTAGCTCGCGGTATACTGAGCTTAGGGTAACTGGAGGACGCTACTTTGTGTCCTCCCGTTACCCTAAGGAGAACTATGGGGAAAAAACACTGACCCCATAGTTCTCCTTTAATGTTTATGTGTAAGACACTTTAAAGTCGACACCAAGGCACTGAAATTATGAATTAGTTCCATACACAAACCCCAGTTTATACATTATAAACCTTAACTGTGATAGTACCATAAACCATCTTCTAAAATCTGGCCACATGATTTGTCTATCATGCTTCTTATTAAAAATGACCCGGTCTAGGAGAAAGGAATATTGAAGAGGTTTGAGTTGGTAACAAATAGTCACAAGACACTGGAGAAGGAATCCCTCAGCAAAACACTCAGTAGTCATGACACAGGAAGGTATTTTGCTGTCAGTCAGTGGGCAGAGGGAGAGGTGGAGAAGCACTGATGTCAATGAAGGGTTTTGCCCCACTACACACTTTATCCACGGTGGCTCCTAAAGTGGCAGAATTGCTGCAATGTTATTGCAGTACCACCGAGGCCAATAGGGACTGGGTCCCAGATGGGGCTTGAGATTTAACCAGTTGTGGACAATGTGCATGATGTGAACAAAAACACTTCACTCAACTATACAGAGCGTATGTAGCATGCTCTGCCCTTCTACCCCACTCCTGCATTTGCCAGCAATTCCCAGTGGTCAAAATGACAGCCAGAAGTTGCTGTGTTATACAGACGCTTTTACAGCCACTGCTGTCAAACACTGCACCGTATTTATAAGCACTGCTCAAAAGTGTGATTTAGAATTACAATGTAAGACAATTGTAACCTTATTTACTGGGTTTTATTCATCTGCTGATATGATGTCAGTTAAAGCAACCTCACAAGTAACAAACAAAAATTATTTTTAAAGTTCTTACTATTTGATCCGTTATTAACCCATGGTTTACCCTGCTCAGCCCTAATTAACTCCCTCTTACCCTGCTTCCCTTAGCTATTATTTTCCTGCTGATTTTTTGTTTATTTCTATTTTCTTTTGATTTTGTTTGCTAATTTCTTACATTACATTAAAGGGCAAAATTGAAAAAAACAAACAGCTTTATTGTAAATAACTATGCAATGCTTTTGTACCAGAATTATAATTTTACTGTCATTATACACTGGACAGAATGAAGAAATAAATACTTTTTATTAGGGATATTCAGATACCAAGTACGTACTCGGTACAAGTACATGTACAGATACTTTTCCAGCTCCAAGGCAGCTGTCATTTTTAAGGATCATACAGAGCTCCTGGGATTTGTGCTTCCCGGTTTTAATGTATGATTTTTTTTAATATAAATATATATAAAGGGATGCACTGATACCATTTTTTCAAGTATACTTGCCCAAGTACTCACAGATACAAGTACTGATTCAGTTTGGTTTATTGTCATGTGACAGTTTTTCTAAAACAATACAGACTAATGATTTCAGGACAGTGGCGGAGCGCCAGAACCAGCTCCCAGCTGCAACCGCTGCAACCCTGGTAGTTTTCAAGTATCGGCACTGGTATCTGAACTGGTATCTGAACATCCGTATTCTTTATCTGTGGTAACATAATACATATAGTATATCTCCTAATATCTTAAGTTATCGCCAGATAAGCAGGCCTATAGCAGATTGTAAAAGTTGGACCATTAGGGGTACCACAGGTGTAAGAGCTGAAGTGGTTAAAGCCTGATATATCAAAATGCTGGCTGCAGGGAAATAATATCAAGTATGGCATAATGATTATGGGAAGGATTGATAAAGATGAAAACAAATACTTTCCCTAATTACCAGATGATAACAGACACCCCTACACGACTGTTTCTGAATGGAAGCGTAGTTGTTAAACCCAGGTTGAGGTTGGTGCCTGTGGTGGTTTCTCACTACATACATGTCTGCTTAAATATTATAGGATTTACATAGGCATGCATCTGTTGGGCAGATAGAGAATTGGTTAGTATACAGATAACATATGTTCATCCAGGGTAGTGTGTTTGCAAGTTCATATGCAGAGTAGTTTGTCTTGGTTTACACTTTGTGAAAGGGTAGTGTTTCATATGCTACCTGTATGTCCAGAGTCTTTCATCTTGACTTTTCTTGTTTTGAAATTACAGGGTTCTATTTAGCAGCTGGCTGTACAGATGGAAGCGTACATATACTGGATGCTGTGACTCTGGAAGATGAAACTAAGGAAACATTCAAGTATGCCAGAGGATCAATAATTCATATCTGTTTCTCTCATGATTCACGCTATTTGGCTACAGCTGTAAGTATCAATAAATCTGCATCTTCAGCTTAAAGGGTTTCTAAACCTTCCGTTTTTTTTGCATATATCTACTGCTAGCAAGCAGTAGATATATGCAAAAAGGTAATTTTTTTTAAAAACCGCTTTAAACTTACCACTGTCTTCGCCGCGCGCTCCCGTCTGAAAATCCAAAACTGCTCGGGCGGCCGCATAGCATCTTGGGGCGGGTGCATGCGCAGTTCGGATTTTCGGCCGGGAGACGAGGAGAGACGCAAGGTAAGTCTATGGACGAGTGCACCCACATGCAGACACTGTGGGACAGGAAGTGCCAGCAAGGACAGAGGATTCAGCGCTGGATCGGAGACCCGCAGCAGCGCTGGAGAGAAGGCTGAAAAGGACAGGACAGGAAAGAAGAGGAAGATCGGATTAAGAGACATCATTTAAGGTAAGTGTTTTACTTAACATTGGGGGAATGGGGGGAAAAATTGACTTTAATGTCACTTTAATATGTAGAAAGAATGTTAATCAGAACCTGTCATTTTGGGGTGTTTATGAAAACATACACATGGGTATGCTTTATAATGTGTTAAGTGCTTAGTAGAGTCCTGAAGCAAGCAAATCCCCATTCACTTCAATGAATTGTAAAAGAAATGTGCCGGAAAAGGCAGAAAAGCCCAGTCACGTTACGTGTCAAATCCAAAAGTGTTCTTTGCAGTATTATGTAGAGAACATTCCTTGGGACACCACAAGCTCTACACCACAACCTGCATTTTATGAATGAGTCACAAAATGCAGGTGTGAAGTGAACACTGCGGTGTCCAATGGAAAGCAGATGGCATATCTGCTCTCTTTTATGAATGGGCCCCCTAAATGTCAATAATTACCATTTTTGCTTTTTTGTTACTTAAACCTTTATCTTCTGGATTCCTTTCTTTTTTGATATCTTCTTAACTTCCCTTTAAATGCCCTTTCATTAGTTCAGTTTCTGGCAGTAAATATATGTAAATCTCGGGTCTATTTTCAACTTGTACTGATACAAGCAGGGTGCTTCCGTGCTTTCTTTAATCTTGCCTCATTTCTCAGGTGGTCATAACTCCATAATATGCCTCTCCTTTAAAGTCTTATTGTTACGTAACTTCTGGGAGACCGGATGTGAGAGGAGGCTTCCCTTGCACCTGGTGTCCTGGGAGACTCTGAGGATGGAACAGAGCCCAGCGGGACAACTAGTGGCAGGAGTGCCAGTGATGTTGAGCACCGTGCAAGCCGTAATCCAATGAGACGAGCCGAGGTCAGATTCCAAGCGGGCAATTCCAGTACAAAAGGGGTCAGGCAGAAGAATGGTCAAATAACAGTTCCGAGGTCAAGGCAGACAGAATTCAAGGTTTGTCGAGGAAGTCCGGGTCACAAGGATCAAGCAAGATATCACAAAAACTGGAACAAGGATTAGCTGACGATAAACCAGCAACATGGTGGTACTGCTGCTGGGTTTATATAGGGCCAGTGATGTCATTTCCTGTGCGCCGCTATGGCGGATTTTTGTGCTGGTACACTACTGCTTCTGCGCATGCGCGGGATGGCGCATATTCGTGCTCGTAGGTTACTGCTTCTGCACATGCGCGGGATGGTGCGTTCCCGAGCAGTGCGGGAACGTGCAGGTTGCACATGTGCAGATGGCGGGGATCCATTACACTTATGTATCAAGACATCAGAACTAATAACAGAAGTTTTTACCCCAGATGCATCAATCAGATTCAGTTTTAGCAAATTTAATAGAGGATTTGAGAATAGCAAGGTGATGGTTAAAGTCAAGCAAAAGTCACAAATAGATATGCAGTAATGCAGACATTGTGCTAACTAGGCATACTACTAGTATCTGTGCTGATACCGAGTATTTGGGCGAGTACTCGTACTTGCCCAAATGCCACGATATCTTTCCCGATACTGGAATGCCCTGTCAGAGGGAGATTTCGTCTGACCGGCAGTGCCACGAGGGAACATGGAGCGAGGAAGCTGGCTCCATGCTGTTTGGCCGGCTCGATACTTGGCTAGGAAGCCGGGGAGCCGGCTTCCTAGCCAATCAGTGTCAAGCCGGGCAAACAAATCTGATAATATGGCGACATGACCCCTCACCCTGCAGACAAATCATTCCCCTCACATAGAGCCTTAGCAGCAGTCATTACTGTACCAGTCCCTCAGTCAGCTGGGCAGACACTGCTCTCCAAGCTCTCCAGGATCTGCCCACGTCTCCTGTGTGCACATCGCCCACGTGATCGGCCCTCAGCCTGATACTGCGCATGCACAGGATTTCTGATTGAGAGCGCTGGGCAATCTGTGCATGCGCAGCAGCAGGCTGAGGGCCGATCATGTGGGCGCTGTACCCACAGGAGACGTGGGCAGATCCCAGAGAGCTTGGACAGCGGTGTCTGCCCAGCTGGCCATTAAAAGTGTTTTCTTAAATTTGTTTAATACATTAAAAAAATATCTGTTGGCCTTGCCAGAAATCTTGTGAGCGGGAACCTTCTTGTCTGTGTGGACTGTTATCAATTAAACTGTTCCTAGTTATCTCTGAAGACTACAAAACCGATGCTCCTCTATGTTATGCAGAAAAGCAGGGGGGCAGGGTTCTGTAGTCCCATCTTGTTTCTGATATCCTAATACTGTACAGTCAATGAGTGTTTCCATCCTAAGACTAGAACTGTGTTATTGACCAAAAGGGACCAAGTATTACAGTTTTGTATTTGGGTTTACATACAATTTAATATAGTCACCAGAGATAGACTCATTGCACTCTGTAATCAGTACTCACTAACAGACCTGGTCTTACACATCCCCTGTGTGTGTGTGTGTGTGTCCCCGAGCACTTTCTTTAGAGGTCTGATTCCAGCAAAGAGCACTGGAGGGGGGAGAAAAAATCATTTGAAATCATTTCCGAGCAAAAATCAGCCACAAATAATACTGCAGGGGTACAGCACCATAAGGCCTCATTCACACTAGAAAAGGACGGCCTGAACAGCTCCGTGCTGCGTGCACAGCCGTATCGGGCAGCTCCTGGGAAGGACAGGTGCTGTGTGTGATTAGTACGCAGCCCCTGTCTTTCTCTATGGGACTACTGGGGCGTACGCCACCCTACGCTCACCCCAAGTGCAAGTCCGTACGGGTGCGGGTGTCCCGGCTCGGACTCAGACAGGATCCATCCTGTCAGTGTACGGGTACGGACACCCACACGGGTGTGCAGGGCGGGTGAGCGTAGGGCGGCGTAGTCCCAAAGAGAAAGACAGGGGCTGTGTACTAATCACACGCAGCACCTGTCCTTCCCGGAGCTGTAAGTGCCGGACGTTTCTCGTGTGAATAAGGCTTTAAGCAATAAAGAGGTTTAAGATTTCCATTAAGTTTTAACGGAGGAGAGCTACCGTGTTTCCCCGAAAATAAGACACTGTCTTATATTTTTTTTGGCTCAAAAAATACACACTAGGTCTTATTTTCGGGGTAGGTTTTTTTGTTTTTTTAATGTATAACAATCCAAAGTTAATGCAAATCCATATTAAATAATCCAAAATGGCAAAGTTAAGAATAGGATGATCAGGTCAATCAGGGGTGCAGCACCTTTCCAAGAGCAATTTGGTAACCAGAATGAGTGAAGCGCGCTTTCACTATCGATTCCTCACAGGCGGAGGGCATATGGTATCACTCCGCCTGTGACAGGAGCCGGCGCTATAGATGAGGTATCGGCTTATGCGACTCTGCTCCATCCGCTGCCGCCTCGCTTCTTTTAGCGCTGGTTTCTTGGCACCTCTGATTCTCTCCCACGGCTCTTCAAGTTCCCCTCTTATGCCCTGGGAATGGTCACATCTAGGTCTTATTTTCGGGGTAGGTCTTATATTTGAGCAATTCCCAAAAAAAGTACTAGGTCTTAATTTCGGAGTAGGTCTTATTTTCGGGGAAACAGGGTATTAAAGCTAAATAACAGCAAGGGGTAGTATTCTCCTCACAGTAATATTGTGTTTTGGTAATGCAGACATGCGCCCTATTCATGAATGTGAAGGGAGACGTTATCATGATCTATAAAAATCCAGTAGGGAAGCTGCCTGTTTAGACACTTGGCTGGTAGATAAACAGGAAGCTATTTATTTTTGCCTTTTTTTATGATTCTCTCAGCATTTATAATGATATTAGTCAAATGTAAACCGTAAAAGCAGCCACATTTGCTATTTAGCAACACAATGTCATACATAGTTCATAAATGTATCTCATAAAGAAAACCTGTCCTCTTGTTTCAGGATAAAGAGTTCACAATCACAGTGTTTCAATTGACTAAACAAAATGGATATACAGTCTGGGAATACCTAGGCAGGAATCGAAGTCACTATAGAGCAATACAGAATATAATATTTGGCATTCACCTGGACAGCAATGAACCTAGACTTGTGTCCCTTGGAAGGGATCGGATGTTGGTGGGTATTTGTTCTACTAGGTAGACTACAGTGCTGCATATTTATAAGCACTTCCGTTGATGAACTTTTGTCCTGAAATGTATTTCTTTTTTCATTATTTATTCATGAAAACACATACCGTATACAGAAATAAGCAGCTCAAGATTGGACAAAATGCCACATTTTACAGCAGATATATACAGTAAATTAATGCAATCAGCCACGACACAAGGATGGTGTGCCTTCTTTGAAGGAAGATCTACCACTAGACAAAAAGTAATAGAAAAAGCTTAGCTGCCCCAACTGGGCTAGAAGATCACAAAGAGTATACATCTGTACCTACGAAGCAGAAAGGAGATGGGGAAGCCAGAGAAGAGGAATTTCGAAGAAAGAAGAGGATGGGTTTGCAAGAACAAAGAAGAAAAGAATAGGATGGTGGAGGGGTGGAAATGGAGGGGAGGGGATGGAGGGCAAGTGTTTACGGTCAGGAACAAGAAGGGAAGGTTGGCAAAAAAAAAGATGGAAAATAGGAGAGAACAAGGACAGGGAACACTCCCCGTGGCATCTAGGAACTAGAAATCACAGGAGTTGGCCCTGAAATGTATTTGTTCTGAAATGCAAATATATATTTTTTTCATACAGTTGCACACTTTACATAATTCTCTTTTACTAATTATGGTTTGATCTTGTGTAGTTTTGTGCAGGGAGGACCAGGTTTTCAACTTGTGCTTGCTTTACAAATGCCCCCCAACCTGTCTATTACTAAAGCTGTCATCATTTTCTCTCCAATAGGTGGAATATAATCTTCTCAAGAGCAGTAAAGACAATCTAGTCATTGAAAGCAGTGAGCGCATAGATCAGAGTGCCGTTCCACAGTGTTTAGTATGGTACCCTCCTTTAACAAAAGAAAGTTTTATCCTTATTGCTAATGATCAGTATAAAATGAAACTGTACAACACAACTACCAAAATGTGCAGGTGAGTGGAAACACTGTGAGGGAAATCACAAAGCACAACTTCTTCTTCTTGTCTCCTTTATTGTTAAAGGAAAACACAATCCTTCTCAGGTGTTTGGAGGCAATTATATTTATGGCGCAGTGTTTGCAGTAAGCAGTGTGAAGAAAATGTGTAAACAGAAATACTAAAAAGGGAAAACATTGTCATGTGGAAAAATGTTTAGTAACCCTATGGTCACCAAAATGGTATTCACAATGGTAAACAGACATCTGTAAGTGCCCGGATGTGTGTTGACATTCCTTGTTCACATACATAAAGTTGGGCTTCCATTCCTCCCTATTTGCCCTTAAAATTAACCTGATCTGGTCAATAAACCTTTCTAATGTGAAAACAATGCCAAAGTGCAGGCATCTTGCAGTATATTTATTAAATGCTCTCCTGTGCCCTAAAGAATTGTTTGGGCTCTAGACCTAGGCTATACATGGGGACGCAACTGCTACACAAGTTCAGATTAATCCCAGCCCTGCTGCGATTACATCAAATGTAAGTGAAGGAATCCCTTTAATCTTCTGCAAATTAGGCAACAGAGCACGGCAGGTCTTGGTGCTGAAGTACAGGCACCTTGTGGATTCTAGGCTAAAGGTGGCTATGCACTAAGCAAAATTCAGCAGGTTCTTCATGAACAGGTCAAAATTGGTTCAGTGGGTGGCCCTGTCTGCCAGCTCCTGCCTGAAATCACTTGATTGGAAATCCTTCAATTGAAAAATGGAAGGAGACGAGCAGAAAATTGTCGGCCTAACGGTGCCTACATCCACTCAGATACAGGCACTGTCCTGATATTTTAATACAATAGCTGCAGTGGCAGATGGCGGTATCTGTCAGATTTCTTTCTTTTTAGCCCGAAAGCTAAATGAAAAAAAAAAAAACAGTGTATACCCAGCTTAGGCTGTGCACAACATCTGACTTCTTTCTAAGTCTAGATTAAACCCTACCCCTCCGAATATTAAGCCCCACCCCTTGGTATTTATCTGTCAAATATCAGAGCTTCCACTAAAGAGGACATACACTGTGCACATTTCGGCCAGTTCTTGATGGGTCCTTGCTCAGTGGTTAGCCTTGTTGGCCATCTTCTGTCTGGCATTCTTCAATCAGAAAATCGAAGGAGCCAGTTGGAAAATTGTCAGGCGAAGAGTGAAGGCAGTCAATCAGCTGTGGTCACTGTTCGGTATCATGAGAGCAGCACACCCATACCCACATACAACAGCCCAGCAGGAGATACGTCCATCCGCTCTGTTTAGTGTGGATGGAGGAATCTGTTATATTTTCGACTTTAATATAATTTTAAATAATCACTATGACATAAACTCTGCAATAATAGTTGATATATATATGCTCACTGAAATGACATTATACTTTCCCTTTCCTTTTTCTATATACTGTACATGTAAAATACATAAGCCTGATGTAAATGATCTGCTCAGCGCATGTTAAAAAACGGAGTCTGAGTATAGTTTGTAAATATATATTTCCATGGGGCAGCCATATTTGCTATACATACATATATCGTACAATAAATATAATACAATATACAGTATGCTTGCTCTATTTTGCTTAATAGTGCTATGCAGTAACTATGCCTTGCTCATCCTGTTATAGCACATTAGACTGCGGTCTCTAATTTGACAATACCCACATTGATCATGGTGGCCAGAAGCAAGTGAGCTGTAGGTCACATAAAGAAGATTAGGAGCAGTTTTTTTTTTTCATTCATATCAAGAAAGAGACGCATTTTTACTTAAAATAACAGTGGGGTTTAGCAATACTAACATACACCCTATTGATCCATGTGAGGTGTGAATTTTAATCATAGGCCTCTTTTAAATAAGGGAAGACGCATTCTACAGTGTTTTATATTTGGCTGCTCTTTGATGTGGCACTTGGAAACGTGTAGGAGGATGAGTAATGCAGTGCATACAAACATTCTGCCCAGATCTTTTCATATTTGTGGAATGTTTATTACACAGAGTACTTATTATAGAAAACATTTCTCCCTGTTATATATAAATGTTTAGAAGGGATTCTGCCACCAGCGCTTCTCAACCAGAATACTAATTTGATCCTAGCAGAACGGACAGGTGGAGGAATTGTTTGCAGGAGCCCAGTGAGCTGCAGAGCACCTTCAATTCATTCATTAGATTAACACATGGCCGTTTCACAAATGATTATTTTCATTGTAAACCATAATTCATTTGTATTTCAAACCTCCTTCTGCAAGGAGCCTATGATTACGCTGTTCTTTCCAAAGCTTGTATGTTGCGCTCGGTTCAAAATCTATTTGGTTTGTCCGTGATATATCATCAAAACAATAGTTTATATAAATCGATGTGGTGAAAGGTGATAATACAATTAAATGAACACAATCTATATAAAAAAATAATAATGTGTATATACTAAATGTGGATGTGTGATCACAAATGCTAATAAATAAAGAATGTGAAAAAACTGAGTGATGGCTTTTAAGCGGAAGTGACTTGAAAAGTATCAAAAAGTGCTAAAACATTAGTTTGAGCACTTTTAAGTAGTAGTAGTTAAGGATTTATTCATCTTTCACCTTGAGTGGCTCCGCTCCACTACCGCAGATTGCTTGTATATGATTACATCTTTCAAATATGATGGACAACTTGTAGTTCCGCTCTAGATCACCATCTCACTGTTTTATTGTCTGGCACAATAATTCATAGGTAGATTTCACTTAGACGGCAGTCCACAATCCATTTTTTTGCACCAATTTCACTGTGCGCCTTTGGGTTCACAGTTTATACTAGACACGGCTATTTAGCACTTTTTGATACTTTTCAAGTCACTTCCGCTTAAAAGCCATCACTCAGTTTTTTCACATACTTTATTTATTAGCATTTGTGATCACACATCCACATTTAGTATATACACATTAGTTTTTTTTTTATAGATTGTGTTCATTTAATTGTATTATCACCTTTCACCACATCGATTTATATAAACTATTGTTTTGATGATATATCACGGACAAACCAAATAGATTTTGAACCGAGCGCAACATACAAGCCTTCCATTTTACATCTATACATACATTGTTGCGGCTGGTGCCGACATACCTACTTCCAGCGCAAACTATTTTGTTTAATATATTCTTTCCAAAGCTGCCCGCACACAAGGTAACTGGATTATTTATTTGGGTTGATCAGACCTTCTAAGGGTTAGAAAAGTGTATCTAAATTCAGGAACAAAAATCAAATATTGCAGCTTATTGGCCCAGATAGATGTGTGCCTGCATTCGTTTTCAGGATTTTTTTTCTTCTTTTTTTCACCTACTGATCCTGCCAGTAACACACCTTCTGTCTTAGTATGACAACACTCATTCAGTGTACTGCGGGATCAGCTTTTTTACCCTAGGACAGGAAGTGTATTAGGACTACACAACACTTCCCCCTCTCCCAGTGGCGGTACTAGGGAGGGTGGGGCCAGCATCCGGGTGACACCATTGGAGGAGGTGACACCAAAATGACTGACAGTCACTATGGTATCACCTCCTCTGAAAAGCTGGGAACTTGGGCATGGACCAGGAGCCTGACAGTTGCTCGAGAGAGAGAGAGAGGAGGGGACCCGGCGGCATAGCTTATACCATCGGGTGAATGCCCCCTCCACATTTATTTACTCTTTATCACAATATTCTAAGCCAGGTTAGGACAAGGAAGACAAAGCAATACCCTGTGGAAATAGGTGATTTAAGCGCATATTATTACTGAGGACATCAAACAGGTTTCGTGGGATAAAAATTGTGACCCTGTTAAATGCATTGGACGGAATATACCAAAACTGGAGCAGTTGCCTATAGTAACCAATCAGCTTCTCTCTTTCATTTTCAAAGCTTAACTGAACAAATTGAAGATAGAAGCTGATTGGTTGCCATGAGCAACTAATCCAGATTCTGTCTGCTCCAGTTTTAATAAATTCCCCTCATCGTATTTCAAGAGCGATCCAATTTACACTGGTAGTGACATAAAAGTATGACGGTTTAGCTTGTTTCACAGCATGACAGGCAGGTGTGGATGTTTAGTCAAGATGTGTCAGATTTTTGTAACTAGAATATATGTATGTTCATTTGTTTCCCTATGTTAGAAAGACCCTCTTGGGTCCAACATTTGGATCTCCTGTAAGAAAAATGGAAGTGTTCCCTTGCAATGATCAATATGCAAGTAAAGGCTACCTGGCATATATCACAGATGATAAGGTATGTTTCCATTCTCTGAATATAATTTGTATTGATGTGCACACAGACTATGCATTAATAAGGCATTGTATGTTCTGCGTTGGTTATCATACATTTGATTCCCTGTAATAGGTTAGTGTGGTGGAGTGAATAGGACTGGATGTTTCCAAGCCTACAGGTTTTATTTTTCCCACATTATTCTTCATCACCCTCTTTCCATTCCATTCTTGTAGCTATGATGTCAACATATTAAAGTGGAGGGGTAGAAAGAAAGACAAGAAGTTCATATGGTGTTAGTTGCCAGATTACTGACTAGCTCCTTCTCCATTCAGGCATTTGCCAAAAGGGCCGGTCTGTGTGAGAGTATATGGGGTAGACATGAACCGAGAGCTGCTTTGTCTCTGTTCACTATACACTATGCAAACTCTATGCTCACCCTGCAACAATATCAGTTTCATGTGCAAATACTGTATTTCATCATTATTACTCTACCTGACTTGGAAACTGATGGGTTGTGTATGCAAATGTGGTCTATTGTGCATTGTATGCCAATGATGCTTTTTACTCACATCCACTAAAAATAGATATAAGTGATGATTGATGCTACACTTTGCTTAGTAGCTCCTCACTTTAAAATGCAATCCTATTTCCCATAAGTTTGGACAGAACTGGCCTTATCCTTATGCAAACAAGCCTCCCATTGTGGTGCATGGGCAAAGATTCTGCTGTTTCTAGCTACTCCAGGAGGTGGTAACAAGTACTTCTAATGCTTGCATTGTTCAATATCACTTGAAACTTTTTACCATCTTGACCAATCCTTCGTTCCCTCTTCAGACTAAGAGAAAAGAAGGTGTTGACCACACATGTCAGTTCAGTCTGTAGGGCAACTCACTTGGGAAGCAATGGCAGGTCCCGGCACCTCAAACAATGTCTCCACATCCATCATAAGGAGGCACGTGCTGGGTAGCCTTAGACTAGCCCATTAGCCCTTTCTTTAAATCAGAAAAATATATTCAGGATCCTATAGGTCTGCCAGTGGTTGGGAGTAGTATGTGTGTCTGCTTTGCATTACCATTATGAAGTTTGGCTTCTGCATTGTGTCTATTCCAGTACAATATATGCACATAAAGTGGTAACAGGCATATTGTTATCAATAAAAATGTGTTTAGTAACAACAAACTCAAATAAGACCAATGCCTTCATCATCCAGGTTGGCCTTCAGATCCTGCCAATTGATGGGAACCCACACAAGTCAATGGCTCTCATTTGCCATCCAGATGGGGTAGCCAATGTTGTCTGTTCACCTGATGGGCAGTATGTGTTTACTGCTGGAGGAAATGATTGCACAGTATTAATGTGGAAAACAAACTTTCAGTAAGTACAAAAATACATTCCTTTAATTAAATACAACATATATAAGATGAGACTTGTAAATGTGAATTCTAGGCAATATAACACTTTGATACTACCAATCATAAAAAGGATTTGAAAATGTTCTAATTGCATGCCACCTCTCCCTGTAGTAACATAGAGAGAGTATGCATCCCTTACAACCCCCTTTGCAGTAGGATTGCACAGATACCAAGTACAGTACTCGGTACAAGTACGAGTACATGTACCGATACTTTTGAGCTCCAAGACTAAACTAGAGAAAAATGCAAAAATTAGGAGGCAGCTGTCATTTGTAAGGAGCACATGGAGCTCCTGGGATTTGTACACCTCTGTTTTAATGTATGATTTTGTTTTTATAGATATAAATAAACTGGTGCACAGATACCAGTTTTGCGAGTACGAGTACTGGTACTTGCCGAGTACTTACAAGTACGAGTACTGATACATTTTTGTTTATTGCCATGTGACAGTTTTTCTAACACAATACAGACTAATGATTTCAGGACAGTGGTGGAGTGCCAGAGCCAGGTCCCAGCTGCAACCGCTGCAACTCTGGTAGTTCTCATGAAAATGCCAAGTATCTGCACTGGTACTCGAAGTATCTGTGCATCCCTACTTTGCAGCAACAGTGGGATTCCCATCTGGCATTTTGCAGTACAACTGCAGACAGGGCCGGATTCCCGGCAAGGCCACCGTGGCGGCCTCGGGGCGGCACTGAGCAGAGGGGCAGCACAGGTTTGAAGTCACCCGACGCCTGGAACATGGAGTTCCGGGCGGTAATTTATTTTTTACATTTAGCCCTGCTTTGCACAAGCAGAGCTAAACGTAGAATAGGAGAAATCACTTGTTTCTTTACAAGAGATCTGGGCCATATCGCCCAGATCACTTGTAATTAGACTGCCGGTCCGTCCTCCCCCCGCTGCCCCCTCCCTCCCCTGTACCTACCTCTCTCCATGCTGTGTCCTCCCGGCTCCGACCTCGCTGCCGCCGTCTTCAGGATGGGGAACGGTGGGCAGAGCGGCAGGGTTAAAAGTAACCCTCTCAGCTGTCTAGAACTCCTGTATTGGAGGTGACAGGTTCAATAAAGAGAACCTGTCACCTCCAAATGCTATCACACAGTAACTTGTTAGCTCCTGTGTGATAGCAATAAAGTTAGGTGAGAAAAAATGGATAAAAAAATTATTACATAAATAAAAATAAGTAAAAAAAAAGTAAAAAATAATAAGTAATAATAATTACATTCAAAAATAGGACGTACACTGTACGTCTCCCGTCACGAAGGGGTTAAAGCACAGCGATTTTCATATGGAATCACTGTATTTTATGGCTGTGCTGAGATACCAAATATCTCCAGCAGGTGGCACTGTGGTTTACAAATACATTTCAATGATAGATTTGCACTTAGCTTTAACACCAAGCTCTATGAGTAGAGGAACCTTCTGTGCTAAGGATACAAAGGGGAATCTTGAGCAATGGAAATTTCCAGTTTAACTTGCTTAGAAACTAAACTATCAAGAAGGGATAAGCATAGCTTGGTGAGGGCATTGAAGTCATCATATGGCAGCTACTGCATCTTGCACTTCAGTTTTGCTATCCAATAGGTGGTGGTGGTATAAAAGTTTATTGCGGCCAAGACTATAAGTCACCTTTGATAAATCACATAACTGTTCTTGTTTATTATTATTATTATTTTATGTTGACCTATTTCGGAACAACTATGGTTAAATATCTTTTTTTGTTTGTTCTTTATTTATTAATAGTAACAATAACCTGTATATTTGCCATTTCTGTTTGGGTTACAGGTCTTTGGAGGCCGTTGCTTCCCTTGGGGGTGATGAATTAACACCTTTCTATGGAATGCTGCCTGGGGGAAGGGATGGAGCTTTATTCAAGGTTAATATTTAGTCATATGACACATCTGATTCTCTACAACATTATCTGCTGCCAATAATGTATTAGTTCTTTTTCAACAAAATAACAATTGAATTAGAGAGCTGTCATTTATTTATAGTAAAGATCATAAGGGACCTCACATTGAAAGAAAACCCTGACCGTTTCAGGACAGTGTTTTGCAAAGTTCTAAACAGGACTACAGTGTACCTAACCACTCTCTGCTTAGCTGCTTTACTTTCTGGCTAGCCATCTTCATTGGTCATGGTATCTAGCCACTCTGTGCCCAGTTGCTGTACTTTCTGACCAGCCATCTTCTTATGCATGATACCTAGCCACTCTCTGCCCCGGGTGCTTTACTTTTTGACTAGTTCCTTATTGTATATCATTTCAGACAATGATTTATTATTTTACATTTTTTTTCTCTACTATTCTAGTTGTTTTAGTGTTTAGGTTTTGTAGTTTAGTCAAATGTAGCTCTTCTACCTAATCGCACACCACTCTTTAGATGCCCATTCAGTATTTGTACTTTCTGTGTGCCATTCATCCAGTCGACATAAAGTTAAATAGGCAACTGAAACTTTTAACAGAAAATAAAAATATTCTCTATGCTGGAACAGGTCTGCCCAATTTTCACACATACACTTTCCTTTTAAAAGTATACAGCCAACATAAGACTTTTTTGTTTCACTGAAAGGATTGTTTTTTTTTTAAATTTACATGTTCTTTACATTATGTGGCTGTTTTAGATTACAGTGTTTAGTGGAATTGTTTAAAGTGTATAAAAAAATATGTAGTACATTTCTGCAGTTCATACCTTTTTTGGATCCCTTTAAAGATCCTCCTAGTGCAGAAAAATACCTGTCGATCTGCCAGAAATGCACTCCGCTCCTAAGTGTCCTAACCTTTTTAAGGGGCCACATGAGAAAATGGGACTGTTGTGGGGGGCCAAACCTGCCGTGCGTTACAGTGCGGCAGGTGCTTTGCATTGCCATTCAGGAGGTGGGCACATTCATTGTCAGCCAGCCATAACGAAGTGCAGGTTGGAGATCGGTCCGTGCCCGTCCCCCGGATCAGACAAAGGGACTGTGGACCATAAGAATGCCCAGGTCTGCTCAAAAGCCAGGTTTCAATGCAATGGTAACTGGGAAAGGGTAGGGGTACCTGTTCATGTGTAATATCTGAAGGAATTAAACCTTGCAATTTCTTTAGACAGATTTGTTCAATAATATTTTAATAAAATGTACAAACACAAGGACTGAGGCCATTATATGTTTCTCTGATTGAAGAGATTTTATTTTATAAGACTTCGTCAAATATGATAAATACATGGATGATCATTAGGGATGCATGGATACCGATACTAGTATCGGTGCCGATACCGAATATTTGGCCGAGTACTCGTACTCTCCCAAATGCTCCGATACTTACATCTGATACCGGAACTTCCGGTCAGAGGAAGATCTCCCTCTGACTAGCAGCGCCGCGGGAGCATGGAGCCGGCTTCCTTTCCAATCAGAAAACTAGGAGGCGGGTCATAACATGCTGCCCGGCTTCCTGATTTGCTAGAAACCAGCTTCACTTGTTGGTAGGCAGCCTGGCTTTGTAACCAATCAGGAAGCTACTGCACGTCATGACTCACCTCCCGGGTTCCTGATTGGTCAGGAAGCCACACTGCCAACAAGTGAAGCTGGCTTCCTAGCAAATCAGGAATCCGGGAGGCGGGTCATGGGGTGCCGCCCGGCCTCCTGATTGGTTAGGAAGCCAGGCTGCCTAGCAACAAGTGAAGCCGACTTCCTAGCAAATCAGGAAGCCGTGAGGTTGGTCATGACGTGCCGCCCGGCCTCCTGATTGGCTTCACTTGTTGCTAGACAGCCTGGCTTCCTAACCAATCAGGAAGCCAGGCCGCACGTAATAACCCGTCTCCCAGCTTCCTGATTGGTCAAGAAGCCAGGCAGCCTCGGCAAGTGAAGCTGGTGTTCTATCGATAGAACACCGGCTTCCCAGGCAATTAGGAAGCCAGACGACAGGTCATGATCCGCCGCCCGACTTCCTGATAATCGTGGCACACGGCACCGGTATCGGCGAGTACCGAAAAAAAATATTGGTACTCGTACTTGATACCGAAAAACCGGTAATCATCCCTAATTATTTTTAGTTGCTCACATTTGCTTGTGTTTTGTGTAGGAGCTGGAAGATTACTTTTATTATGCTCAACTGCGTAACCAGGGTATTGATACAATGGAGACCAGACAAGTTTCAACACATATTCCCTTGAAAGAAGTTCCTTTCATCATGCGAGCACTGGGATATTATCCAACAGAGCAAGAGGTATTTAAAAACGTGTCTAACTGGCTGTAGACTATAGAATATGTTCATAGTAAATTGAGATTTTAAAAGCTTACTACATTAGAAAAAGAAATCTTTGAATCCAGTGTTCCTCAGCCAATGACTTGGGAGAGCTTTAAGTGGTTTTCATCTACCTTTGAATTTTTCAGCCTTTTAATAGTTGCTCAGTATTTACCATATACTTAATTATGCGCATCCCATAAGCATAAGGGTGCCCTTACACCTTACGATTATCGTACGATAATCGCGGGAAATCCCGCGATCGTACGATGTTCGTAAGGTGTGTGGAAGGGACTTGCGATCATCGCAAGTACGATCTGCCTATGCAACATAGGCAGATCGTACGTTTTTTTAAGTACCTTACAACCATCGCAAGACAAAAGTCTTGCGATGGTTGTAAGGTGTGTGCCCAGCCTAACGCTATGCTATTTTATTTTTTAATCATGTCTTAAATGCGTGCCTATATTTAGTTTAATTTTAGAGAGAGTTGAAGTTTGCATATGAGATTGTCCTGAGTTTCAAGGCTCCTGAACTGACTTGAAGGCCCTGGTAGGTAGATTTGGTGGCATAACTGTCAGCATAGAAACACAGGAGCTGCCACTGCTGACTTTTTAAAATTGGGAATCACTTCATCCCACACAACTACTCATTTTATTTTGGATGGAATGACAACAGACTAACCAAAATATCACGGACCCTTGCTAGTTCCTCCAGTGATTTTTCTCCCTTTTCTATACATAATTCTGCTGCCTGTATGCATGTAAAGAATTTGCCAGCTGAGGTAAAAAATGAGAAGCGAAAAAGCAGCAATGGTTTTATGTTTTCCATTTATTATGCCATTAATAAGAAGGAGAATATAAATATACATACCAGCCTGCTTCTGTTGCTTTGAAGTTCTAGGGGCATCCAAACTTCGGCCCTACAGCTGTGGTAGAACTACAAATCCCATAAGGCATTGCAAGACTCTGACAGCCACAGGCATGACTTCCAGAGGCAGATGCATCATGAGATTTGTAGTTTCACCAATAACTGGAGGGCTGAAACTTGGCTACCCCTCCTTTAAAAATACAGGCTGACTGCTTATCTTTGAAGACATTTTCATAAGAGCAGACACAATTTAACAAACTATAACATCTTGTCATCGTCTATGTGTAGGTGGAAAATATTTTAAATGAAATCAAGTTTAGTGAGTATGTAAACACTGGAAAACAAGTCAACCACATAAACCTTGGGGACTTCATAAAGCTCTATATAAACCACAGACCTGCATTTGGATTACGCCTAAATGAGCTACAACGGGCATTTCAAGTTCTTGGTTTCACTAACAATAAAGGGGAACTGGCTGTAAACAGAGGAGATTTACTGCAACTTCTGCAGACAAGAGGTGAGTAATCAAGTAATTAATTGTCTGTGAAGGTTCCTGTTCGTCCAGGTCATTAAATATCTGTAAAAAAATAAATTAAGGCAGCTAGACTTGCTGTATTTTTTTGAAGACATTTCGCTGGTCATCCAACTAGCTTTCTCAATTCTGAATTGAGAAAGCTAGTTGGATGAGCAGCAAAATATCTTTAATAAAAATACAGCAAGTCCAGTTGCTTTGATTTTATTTTTTACAGATACAAGTAATATATTGTAAATAAGAGGTAACTTTGCCTCATAGCAATAGGAAAAATATTAATGGGAATAATATTTGTTCAAATGTATTCATATTTACATGTGTATAATAATGAACCTAACTTAAAGTAAACATTAAACCCTCAGATTTTTTAACATAAAACAATACTGTAATGTGTGCCTTACTGTAATCCATGGTTGTTTCCCTTCTCTTTGCTGCTCTTCCTTTTAAATCTGTATCTCTTCTATTGCTGGGCAGAACTTCTGTTTTGCAGCAGACTGCCTTGTCTCAGGAATGGATACACGGTGTCTGTGTGTCGGTTTGTATAGGCTGTAACCTGAGCCAGCACTACAGGAAGAGGCCCTGAGCTGAAAAGGGAAGTTCTCCCCAAGCATGAGAAGACATGAGGATTTAAAAGGAAGAGCAGCAAAGAGAAGGGAAAC